TGTTTCTATATACATTAATCAACGGACAATCAAGAACATAATGGGCAAGGGTGTGAGACCTTAACATACCACATAGTTTACACTTCGTGTCATTATCATGAACACCTATCCCATATTCCCAGTAGTATTTGTACCCAAGCCTGAGCCGCATGTACACAGAGTCACTCCAAGCATTTCTCCTTTTACCATAAGTGAAATGGGTATTTTAATTGACTCACATACATGTAGTGTTGCATGGTTTGGCTTCTCTCAAACATTATATCTCTCCTATATCTCTCTATAAGCCCCGAAATCATCTCAAGATCTCAAGATAACCTCCTCTCCACTCCTGCCTGTGCCTGAATATTTCTGATTTTGCTTCTTATTTGTCTCATTGTGAATTCACATTCAATGTCAACTTGTGGTTTTGATGTGGCACGTTTGGCCAAGTCATCCGCCACCTTGTTGAGCACTATTCCAACATGAGATGGAATCCACATAAATTTCACACTATGACCTTTCAGCTGTATCTCAGTTATCCTTTTCTTACAATCCTCAACTATGGACATGAAGACTGAATTTCGACTGTTTAAGGACTCCAGTGCTCCTCGGCTATCGACAAATACAAAAACATTTTTGTCATCATGACGTACTTCCTCCAAACACGCCAGAATGGCCTGCAGTTCAGCTTGTGTGGATGATATATAATTACTAAGCCGGAGTTCAATTATCCTGTCCACAGTCCCAAACTCTGTATATTCTCTTATTAGGACACCACACCCTGCCCTGCCATCCTCCGCCACCGACCCGTCGCAATATACATGTAAACTGTTGCCTCTTGGTAACCGAGATATCATGCTTCCATACAAACACCGTAATTGTCCAGGTTCATGATGAATCTTTTTCACCTTGAGCGGTACAATTTCGATGTCTATTTTCTGTACTTTCCAGGGAGCAGACCTATTACACTGGTGAGAGGGTTTACAGCAGTCAAGTACATCGTATTCCCTGAGGTCATGAGCTAATCCCCTTGTGTAGCGTATCTCTCTCAGTTTCCTGGAAGTGTGTATGTCACTCAGGCAGGTCTGAACGCTCTGAAGCAGCTTATCCCATCCTTTGTTCCACATGAAACGAATAGATACTCTAGCGTTAATGTCACGGACTCTATCATACACACTCTGTAAATTTAATTCCATTCTCATTATTTCAATCATTGCATTTCTTTGACATCCAAGAATAATCCTTATAGCCTCGTTCTGTATCAGCTCTATTTTTTGAATTTTGTGTCCAATCCTGGGAGTGTACAAAATATTCAGCAAAGCATGTTTGTGTGCTACACTTGGGCATCAACCCATATAGGTTAGGAGCCAGTTTTTCTTTGACCTGAAACATGACACGATTGAAAATAATTCTCTCCAAGATTTTACACATGCAAGATGTAAGAGAAATGGGTCTGAATTTTTGAGTTAGGTTTAGGAATTGGTACTTTATGTCCATTTCTTTGGCAAGATACCTTGTGAGAGACTCATTTGATAGAGGTCAAACAGAGGGTGGCTAGGGACATCATTCAGTAAGCTCAAGGTGTTATAAGTTACACCATCCACACCAGGGGCTGTTTGTTTAGGTTTCCCTAATGTTGATGTCAATTCAAAGGGGGATATATGTGATTTCTTTCATGATTATGCACCCCATACCAATCCCGTGGGCGGTGGAGTAAAGGGTTACAGAGGCACATAATCGGTTCAGGAACTGAACCCTCTAGTTCGTTTAGCTAAGCAAATAACAATCTTTTGACGCTAGTTACACAATTATTAATGTTATATATACATGTACACATACTCATACATACATGTACATATATATACATATAAATATATACACATACATATTCAATCACCGACACTAATACACACATCAATAATCTTTTGTATCACAAGTGATTCAACAAGAGGCTCACAAGTCACTATACAAGGCACTTTACATCTATGGCGAGTCACACAATTGCTAGTTTTGCTGCACACCCACCCAACTGGGCGGCAGCTTTACAGTCATGTGCTCCACACCCACCCAACTGGGCGGCAGCTTTACAGTCATGTGCTCCACACCCACCCAACTGGGCGGCAGCTTTACAGTCATGTGCTCCACACCCACCCAACTGGGCGGCAGCTTTACAGTCATGTGCTCCACACCCACCCAACTGTTTACAGTCATGTGCTCCACACCCACCCAACTGGGCGGCAGCTTTACAGTCATGTGCTCCACACCCACCCAACTGGGCGGCAGCTTTACAGTCATGTGCTCCACACCCACCCAACTGGGCGGTAGCTTTACAGTCATGTGCATGCATTACTTACAGTAAGCAAATTTTGGATACTTCGCTAAGATTTCGGCCAGCACATCATTATGAATGAAGTACTTACTTGGACACCATTGATGGTGTTATCTCTGAATTCCGCAATTTTTTCACATTCCATTATATAATGACGCAAAGTATGCGAATAGTTCTGCTGACAGAGTTTACATTTAGTCAAATCTACATCAGCAGATGTTACAAACTCCCAGAGGTACTTGTAGCCGAGCCTAAGCCTAGCAGTGGTAACATCTAGAAGTCTGCTAACCTTATTGGATGACCCATAGACGTGCGGTACTTCCTGCATAATAGAATGATGATAGATGGAGTAACTGGTGTGAATTTCACTTTGCCTCAAGTCTCCGAAATTTAGTTGATGTTCCCGGAATATTACTGCCCTCAGGCTGCTCAAAGGCAGTCCAAGTTGGTAATCAATTCCCTCTTGACGAGCAAAAGTCTTAGCCAACTCATCAGTTCTATCATGCATTCGGAAACCATTATGGGAAGGAATCCACAGGAGACAAACTCTGACTCTATCATTGATCATTTCACTATATCTGTGTCTAACTTCAGAGATAAGCACGTCACAGTTATGTCTTGGGGAGCTGAGGGCAGTCAAGAATGACAAGGAGTCACTTACAATTAGCGTGTCAATTTTTGGATTCATATACGCGCTCGAGTGCAAGGATTATGGCAACCAATTCTGTTTGGAGAGTGGAGGCCCAGTTACTTAGACGCGCTCCACACTCATAGGAGAAGGAACCATCTCTCGCTGTCACAACAACTGCACTTCCAGCTGCACCATGGGACTGGTGCAAGGATCCATCAGTGTAAATAATCTGGGAAAGGGAGCGCTCTGACTAAAGCATCAAGTTTGCTTAAGGGATTGTACTTTGCTTCTTGTCGAAGCAAGGACTGTTCTTTAATCAGCTTCTTGGGTGGGAAAGGGGGGGGGAGGGAGACAGTAATTTGGAAAGGGAGTGATCTCCCATGGGGCAGGAAAGTGTCGTTGTTGTCTCTCTTGGTAGAGGTGATGAAAGTTATACATTCTGAGCACATTTGCAGTTTTGGTAATCCATTTGGAGGGATGTTGACCTTCAAGGAAGAAGGCTTGGAGGGCTTCAGTACAGGGGTTAGGGTGGGTTAGCCTAAGCATCTTGATACAAATTAAAACATTAATTTCAGTGATACGATCACTTAAACATGAAATATTCAGTTCCTTCCTCATGTTTAATAATTTAATTGTACGGGGGCATCCAAGGATAATCCTCATGGCTTCGTTTTGCATCTTTTCCAGCCCTCCAAGCATTCTCTCAGGCACTAGAGCAAGCATGGGTGCAGCATAATCGATCAGAGATCTAATATATGAGAGATACATCATTTTGCCAATTCTCACATTTAAATGATCCGTTAAATCTGGTGAGAAACTTGCTATTTCAATATTAAAGTTTCTGTTAATGTTGGTATTATTTAAATGCTGCTGTATATCTGGGGGTAAGGAAGAAATATGCGAGACACTAGACCATTAAGCTAAGAGCATGTCAGCATATTCTGCAGGAGTATGATGAAACTGAACTGGGGCTGAAGGTTTGGTAATGTTTTTAATTTTGTTCCACATTTCCGATAATGTTGTAGTTCTATTGATACCTTGTAGGAATTGTTCCCAATATGTGTTCTTAACTTGACCCTTAAGCTCCCGAAAATCTCTGTTGGCATTGAGGAATGCAAGTAAATTGTCAGCTGTTTTGTCTCGTTTATAAGAGTCAGCAGCTGAAGCACTTTAGCTCTGCAATAATAATAGGATCCTCTGTCAATGAGGAAGAATGAGTGTTCTTTTTTTTTTCCTTAATTTAACCCAGGTATCATAATAACTGGTAATGATACTGACAAGATCATTGTAAAAGTGGTCCACTGATACAGGTGTATATCCAGTGTACCACTTGTGTACATAAGCCCTAAAGTACGGTTTAAGATTGTCTAGAATGTTAATTTTAACCCTAGGATGATGATTAGACCTAATATCCGCTACATTGTACTCACAATATATTGCAAAATGATCACTTACTAGTTCTGGAATGAGCTTAACGTTGACGTTGCTATCTGCTAGGCTGTACCCAACCACATAATCCAGCCTACCTCCCAATAAATGGGTCTGTTTATCAGTATCATACAAAGTAGTATTATAATCAGTAAAGTATTTCAAGAAGACACTTCTATTAGTGTTACACTGAACATGACCAAGAGCAGTGTGACGAGCATTAAAGTCACCCATACATAACACAGCTGCGTTACCTGTAGGTTTCGGTAACAGCTCTGCGTTAAGTGCATTACATCGTCCATATATGTTATACAGTAGTAAATAGCAATTTAGAAGATTCTCAGCTTCACTGAATCCTCACATGGTGCTGGCAACATTTTTATCCCCGCATATTCCTGTGTTAACATGTCAGTCCCTGAGCCCTATTATGTGCCTCTGTAACCCTTTCCACTACCGCCCACAAGATGGGTATGGGGTCCATAATAAATGAACTAAATTAAACTAAACCTGGCATTTTTACGATTTCAGCAGTCTGGGAGAAGAGATGGCAAGTGCAAATATATGAGTTTACCACCAAAAGTGGTTAAAGTAAGAATAAAAAGATATGAAACTGGTAGGCCTATTAAAAATGCGTTGTGGTAAAATTTTTATAAAATAGATAATAAAAATAAACATTGAACATTATTTATTCATCTACTTAAATATATACATGAAGGTGAAAGTACGTTGAACATAAACAATTCCAAAAATAGGTAAATGTTTGTTTTAATAACTCATCACACCAGATATAGCATTTATAAAGCGCCTTTCTTACTATTAACATCTTTACTGGCTAAATTAATATATAATTTTGCCCAACCTGCACACAGTTCCCATCATTGTCGAGGACTAGAAGCCTCGACAAAACCCCACAACAGTTACCTAACTCCTGGATACCTATTTAATGCTAGGTGAACAGAGCCATCAGGTGAAAGGAAACGTGCCCAACCATGTCTGTTCCTCCCGTGAATCGAGCACCATAGTAAATCCTTAAACGTAGACGACCGTCCAGGTCTGAACGTGCACTTGGAGGCCAATGTGTGTCCGGCCACTGGGAGTCCGGCCCAGTGGCCGGACACAGCGTGGTGTTGACCCTCAGTTTTCATCATTCATTTCTAAGCAAGTATACAGTGGTGTGTTCTGTAGCTTAGTAATATTATCCCTAATATCTTTGGCTTGATTGTATACAAAATAGTAGCAGCAGCATATGGACAATATGTAAGACATCAGAAAACACATCTCAGGAAATTGTGATTCTTGATCGGCCAAAAGATTGACGATTAGACCTAGGCAAGTAAGAGAGATGTACACGAGGTAAGCTTTGGCCAACAGCTTAAAAACATTGCATGGACTGGCCCTCACTGCCTTGTACAGCACAATTACCAGACTCTCCCACAGGTTTGGGGCTTCCCCGTCCTTCCTGTAGTGGTGGCAGCGGGAACACCTGAAGGAGGGAAAGGACAGTGATAACATTATATGCCAGGTGTTGACTATACAGTGATAACATTATATGCCAGGTGTTGACTATACAGTGATAACATTATATGCCAGGTGTTGACTATAATGGAGAGGCACTTACCCATGCTCTCACACACACAACCATACAGGTAGACACAAACGTATGGATACACACACATATAGGGGCCGGTGGCTGAGTGGACAGCACGCTGGACCTGTAATCCTGCGGTCTGGGGTTCGATTCCCGGCGCCGGCGAGAAACAATGGGCAGAGGTTCTTTCACTCTGATGCACTGTTACCTAACAGTAAAATAGGTACCTGGGAGTTAGACAGATGTTATGGTCTGCTTCCTGGGAGTGTATGTGTGTGAAGAAGAAAAAATTAGTTAATAGTGAGTAACAGTTGATTGATTGACAGTTGACAGGCAGGCCGAAAGAGTAGAGCTCAATCCCCGCAAGCACAACTAGGTGAATACACATGTACAGGTACACACACAAATGTATGGATTCACACACACATATTTGTATACACACAAACATACATACAGGTAGACACAAACGAATGTGTACACACACCCAAATGTATGAAATGTATGGGTACAAAAATCTGGCATATATACCGAACGGAAAACTACGAGATAAGAAAATTCCTAATAGAAATACCATGGGAAACAGAGCTCAAAGAAAACCTGCCCAAGACAAGATGGACTACATCACCCAGAAGACAACAAAGCAATGAAATGAGTGTAAGGAGGCAGCAGAGAAGTTCGTCCCAGTCCAAAGGGGAAAAAACTAAGTGCGATTAACATAATTAAACTTATGGTTTATTCGGGGATGTAAAGTGGCAAAGCAACTAAACTAAGTACAAGGACATGGAGAAACTACATAAATAACAGGACACCAGAGAGGAGAGGATGATACCAGAGGACCTGGAACGAGTACCTCAGGGTGAGAAGGGGAAGAAAGATAGTACGAAAATGACATAGCAAATAAACAGATAATGAAACTGAGGATAGGGGCAGATGTGTTCACTACAAATTACAAGGTGTTTGAGAAACTCAAGAGATTCCAGGAGGTCTTAACAATAGAACAAAGTGAAGTTCCTGAAATAAGAGGGAATATCTAACCAAGCACCACTAGAGAAGTTTCAGATTACCAATGCGGAAGTAAGGACGCATTTGATTGAACTGGATGTGGCAAAGACTGTTGGCACAGACGAACTCTCACCATGTATACTAAAAGAGGGAGCAGAAGCATAAGCCTATGACTCTCAATGGTGTATAGTCGCTGGTAAGAGAACTGCCAAAAATTTGGAAGACACAAATGTAATCCCGATATACAAAGGAGACAGATTGAAGGCACTGAACTACAATTAGGGAAAGGGTTTGTGATAGAAGATTGATAAGATTACGCCACCCAAGAGGTGGCACGGGCATGAGTAGCCCGTAAGTGTGATAGAAATCCGGGAGGCGTTTATATATTTCCTTGTAGATACTGCAATGAAGTCTATGTGGGAGAACAGGACAAAAACTTGAGATCAGAACTGAAGAACATAAGAAAGTGTGTAGAATCATGGCTGGCGACAGTGCTGTAGCTAACCACAGTTGGGAATAGGATCACAATATTGATTTTTAGAAATGTGAAATAATCTATAAGTAATAATATTAGAACTAGAAGGGTAGTGGAAGGGGTTCTAATAAATATGCTGAATAATTTTGCTGGTAACAAAAGCTTTACTTCGGAGGATAGCTTTACTAGGAAAATGATCCTATATGAATTAAAATTAGATATCAATAAATGGATTAATGTAAACAGTCCCATTAGCCGAGACCAGAAGACATGTCAGGATGTGCAGAATACCCCCGTTGAAAAGCGGAGGTGCCACAGGTACTCTGAGAGAGAACTCTATCAACATCAGAGGCCCAAGACTGTTCAACACGCTTCCGCTACACATAAGGGGCATAACTGGCAATCCCCTCACAGTGTTCAAGAGAGAACTGGATAAGCACCTCCAAAGGATACCTGATCAACCAGGCTGTGACTCATACGTCAGGCTGCGAGCAGCCGCGTCCAACAGCCTGGTTGATCAGTCCAGCAACCAGGAGGCCTGGTCGACGACCGGGTCGCGGGGACGCTAAGCCCCGGAAGCACCTCAAGGTAGCCTCAAGGTAGGTAGGTAGCCGTGTTCCTTGGGGGTATGGAGAGGGTTACGAGGGAGAGCATCCAGATGAACACCTCTATTAATAACAACTCCACTTCCCAGAATATGAGGATTGCAGAAAGGACCATAATTCCATAGAAGACATTACCGCAGGTGCCTCGCCAGTCGGGAGTAGAGGTGACCTGGTCAGGAGGTCAACAAGGATAAGAGGACTGGATCCAGGATAACAGCCTCATTAGACGTTAAGATGTAAGTCTCGTCCTAATCCCTCACTTAGACCTTGAGAAAGCACTCAGGAGAGTGCGAAAGACTTGTGTAATTTCTTCACAAAAATTTCACAAATACATGTGAGGATTTTTACCTTATGTTATTAAGTCTGTGAGAAGACATTACCATTACTTACAATGTAAATTACTATCTTCCAAGCAACTATCCCGAGTCTCTGTATCTATCCCCAATAATTTGATCAGATGTTAATTGTATAATTTTCTCTTAAAAAAAGATTAGGTAAACTATGTGAAAAAACAATCTTAATTTATAAACCAAAAATCCTGAAATGTAGCTTCCCTGATATCATTAAAAAAGGCTAGAGCAATCCCAGGCCATAAAAATGGAGATATCACTGAAACCAGCAACTTTAGAACAATATCCTGCCCACTTTACCCAACATATATATAAATTTAATGTACAAACAGCATTAGTCCTACCTAGCTAAGCATAATACTGGTCAACACATGTTCATAAGTTGTTTGTTTCGGAGCTGAAAAAGAGCTGTTTACCTTGCATTTTGACGTGCTGAATTCAAATAATTATAATTCCTAATTTGATATTACTTGTATAAGGGTGGTAACAAAATCAACCCTTATTCATAAAGTGTTGGATGCTTAACCTTTTTCACCCCTGGCTCCAATAATAGACGGAGTGGCCAGTCTCTCATGACAAGTGGGAATCTCTAGCACGACTGTCTCACTCACAATGACAACACCAGTAATTTATGTATCCACCCTGTAGACCCATCACAACAGCAACAATCTTCAAGTCCCCACAGAGCTGCCACTGATGCTGGTCATTGTATATGCACTTCAAAAACTGCTTTATGTTTTCATAAGTTCCCTTATTTGGGTTACATAATCCAATGGAATTGATGGCAAACACTTCCATTATGCAACAAACCAGCTTTAAGACTCGTGTTGGATGAAAATTGTAGCTACTCAACAATTTTAAACATCATTTCTGGTCTCAGTGATCCCGAATTAAGTCAGAATTGATTTCATTTGTTACAGAAGCATTCTGGCTGTAGACCAGTGTAATATACTTAAGTTCTTGCCAGTATGGCTCCCGACTCCCCACAAAAGCGCCAACGATGCTTTAACTAATACGCTTGACTTGATATATGCAGCTCTTGACAAAATGAATACCGCATAAGTAAGTCTATTTGTTGACATGTTTAAGGCTTTTGACACATTAACCACAATAATTTTTTTTCTCACAAAATTTAAGTTCAGGCCCAAGTCTATTTGTTGACATGTTTAAGGCTTTTGACACATTAACCACAATAATTTTTTTTCTCACAAAATTTAAGTTCAGGCCCGAGTACCAACAAACTCACTCATAACACTGATAAAACGTACTACATATTGATTAGAAGCATGTCAATCAAGTTTAAATAAGAATTATCAATATTCACGGGTGATCGATGTTTACGTCAGGACCCAGAAGCTGGAGCTCAACCATACACACCAGTGAGAAATTGTGAAGAGGTAAGGTAATTATCAGGAGAAGCACTAATAAAAATTATTTTTATCAAGTAAAACGGAGCCAAACAGATATAGATAAATAAGAATAGGAGGGAAAGGGAGGACTAGGATAAAACCTGATAATATTCCCCTTACCTGTTGGGAAGGGTGATGTTGAGGTTGCTGGAGTCAAAATACATCCGTCCACGATTGTCTTGTTCAGCCATTGTATGTCAGCTGTATAACCCAAGGAAGTTGTAAGTTACTACTCTACACCCAGAATGAACATATATCACAGGCGCACTAACACATTATCAAAGAACATTCATACGTTCAAGGGTAGGTGCCACAGTGTGTGTGTATATTTACCATTTGTGCCTACAGACTCGAGCTATTAGCTTTTGGTCTCCGTCTTTCTAACCAATCTATTTTTCCTCTATTATGTCTACTAAATAAATTTCTCTCGTGTGTGTAAGTATATACAGATGCATATCCTTACACATAATTACATACATACACATACGGACCGTAGGGTCCGCGAATAACATCAATTATCTCGAGACATTGAAGGGTCACCGAGACAAGAAACATAGTTTTTTGTCACAGAAGTGTACGCAAACGCAGTGATCAAGTGTACAGTGAGCTCCTACAGCGGTAGAGCAATTAAGAAACAAAAATAAGGCCGAGTGGCAAGATCAGTGTGTACCGTTGGGTCAGCCTAGCCACCCAGCCTAGCAGGACCTACGTTTTGTTTGCTGAGTAATGTGTTGTGAAGCGGATTGTAGCATACTTAGTGATTGATCCCCCGAAGTGTGGGCACCGTTTAGGATCGTATGCTAAGTGCACATAGTGGTGACGACCAGTGAGGAAGATAGGAACGAATGTTACCAGGAGCACGTGGAGACAACAGTAGCACGTGGAGACAACATTGATACCAGAGAGAGGAGAGGGCAAGCGACCAACCCCGTCATAAGGACATCTCTTCAAACTCACCTAGGCGTGCTTGCTCGGGGTGAGCTGACGGTAGGTACCCCTCTCTAGGTCATCAATAAGGTGTACAGAGTGACTTAAAATACCTAATTTAAAGTAGGTCTCAATATCTCAAATATACAACTCCGTGGCTCACTTGGGTGGGGCTTGACACATGATACCCTGGTGACCGCTCACCATCTCACCCCTCACCTTCCCACGCCTTACACTGCCCCAAGACACCTCCCTACCCCTTCCCCTATACACAAACACCCCCGCACCCAACACACACACACACACACACACACACACACACACACACACACACACACACACACACACACACACACACACACACACACACACACACACGCACACACGCACACACGCACACACTCACACACGCACGCACACAAAGACACACACGGACACACACACACGCACATACAGACACACACACAGACGCACATACAGACACACACACAGACACACACACACACACACACACACACACACACACACACACACACACACACACACACACACACAGGTCAAGCGGGATGGTAAGACAACAGAATGAAGCTGGAGGAGAGGGACTGGACGAGTCATTCATGGAGATGATTGCTAAGGCATGGAAGGAAGTCAGTGGGGAATTGAAGGACCTGAGGGAAACTATATGTAAGCTGCAGATAGAACTAAGTGCAGCACAAGAGGAGATAAAAAGCCTAAAAACAGGCCCTCCTCAGACTCTGGCCCAGGGGACCAACCCCCAGGTGCCAGGAGATGTAGCTATGGCAGGGACCCCTACAATTGGCCCAACCTTTGCTGAAATGCTCAAGAGCCCAGGAGCAATGTCCACAGTCAAGGATGTTGTAATGAAAGCAGTAACCTCACAGGAGGCAGCTAGATGCACAAGCCAGCTAATGGAAAGGAAAAGAGCTGTAGTAGTGGTAGGTATCAAGGAACAAGAGGGCTCCACAAGGGAGGAAACGAGGACTAAAGACAAAGCTGCAGTGGCAGGGACATTAAAGGAGATAGGAATGGAAGGGGCTGAACGAGACATAGAACAGTTTTTCCGGATTGGCCAGTACAACAGAGACAAAAAAAGATTGATCAAGGTAGTATTCAAAAGCGAGGACATCAAAGAGGACATTCTTGTAAGGAAGAGCAAACTGAGGTATGTAAGGAACTACAAAGAGGTATATGTTCAGAGGGACATGACCAGAGACGAGATAGTAAGGGCATCAGATGCAAGGAAAAGGCGCAAGGAGAGGGAAGAGAGCCAGGGAACCTCAGCCTCCAACCCAGCAATCCCAGAGAGGGAGTGGGGAACCCCAATCCAGCAACCCAGGAACCCCAGGGGGGAATGCAACACCCCAGTCCACCACCCAATAGGGCCCTCGCCCTACCCCCCAGCACAAACCCTTCCTTGCCCCTTCATAATGCCCATCATGAAACCCAAATCCTCCCCTCCCCTTACCCCAAGTAGCCCCTGCTTTCCCAGCCCCTGGTCTTCTCCCTGCCCCAAGCAGGCCTGAGCAAGACCAAAGCCCTCTATCCCCCACTCCACCTCCCTCCAAACCCCTGTCAACTACACCGCAGGAGGGCGTGCCCTCTCCCCAAGCAATCTCTGCTCCCTCACCCCCAGGACTTCTTCCTGACCCAAGCAGGCCTGAGGAAGACCTAAGCCCTCCACCCCCCACTCCACCTCCCCCTGAACCCCTGGCAACTACCTCACAGGAGGAGGAGCCTACCCAAGTAGCAAGGACCATAGAACAACCTTCTACACTTGTAGGGAGTGTGGGTGAAATTGGATATAAGAAAGTGAGCTTCAAGGTAATGTACTCAAACATTGATGGGATTACCAATAAAGCAAGTGAACTGGCAGAAAGGGTGCAAGAAGAAAACCCTGATGTAATAGGACTAACAGAAACAAAAATGTCAGGAGTCATAACAGATGCTGTGTTTCCAAAGGACTACTATATAGTAAGGAAAGAGAGGGAAGGGAGAGGAGGTGGAGGAGTGGCCCTGCTGATAAGGAAGGACTGGAGTTTTGATGAGATGGAAATTCCGGGCTGTGACGGATTCAGAGATTACATAACAGGAACTATAACAATGGGTGGACCTAAGATAATAGTGACAGTCATTTACAACCCTCCCCTAAATGACAGAAGACCTAGACAGGAGTTTGATAGGAACAACATGGCAACCATTAATATAATAGAGAGAGCAGCTTCAGTTGCCTGCAGGAATGGCTCAAGACTCTTAATCATGGGTGATTTCAACCATGGAAAGATAGACTGGGAGAATGGGGACCCACATGGTGGTGCAGATATGTGGCGAGCTAAACTCCTGGAAGTGGCAACAAGGAATTTTCTGAGCCAGCATGTCAAGGAACCCACAAGAATGAGAGGCAATGATGAACCAGCTAGACTCGACTTAATATTCACCCTGAATGAGTCAGAAATAAGGGAAGTCAAAGTTGAAGCCCCCATAGGAATGAGTGACCACAGTGTGCTGACCTTTGAGTACTTGGTGGAGGTAGGGATAACCTATCCAAGGATGGGAGTGGAGGGGAAAAGACTGAATTACCGAAGAGGAAAATATGACGAGATGAGGAACTTCCTCAGGGGAATACCATGGGAAACAGAACTTAGAGACAAGAATGTGCAGGTCATGATGGATATTGTCACCCAAAAGTGCCAGGAAGCTGCAGACAGGTTTATCCCCGTCCAAAAGGAGAAAAACGAAAAACAACAGAAAAACCCATGGTTCAACCAGGAATGTAAGGTAGCGAAACAACTGAGTAAAAGAACATGGAGAAACTACAGAAATAACAGAACACCAGAGAGCAGGGAGAGATACCAGAGGGCCAGAAATGAGTACATCAGAGTGAGGAGGGAAGCAGAGAGACAGTTTGAAAATGACATCGCGAGTAAAGCCAAAACCCAACCAAAGCTGCTCCACAGCCATATCAGGAGGAAAACAGCAGTGAAGGAACAAGTGATGAAGCTGCGGAAAGGGGAGAACAGATACACAGAGAATGACAAGGAGGTGTGTGAAGAACTCAACAAGAGATTCCAGGAGGTCTTCACAATAGAACAAGGAGAAGCCCCTGCACTAAATGAGGAGGCGGCAAACCAAGCAACCTTGGAGGAATTTGACCTCACCAGTGATGAGGTCAAAAGGTGTCTGCTGGAGCTAGATGTGACAAAGGCTGTTGGGCCTGATAGAATCTCACCATGGATACTAAAGGAAGGTGCAGAAGCACTAAGTGTGCCACTCTCTATGGTGTATAACAGGTCACTGGAAACAGGAGACTTACCAGAAAGTTGGAAGACAGCTAACGTGGTCCCAATATACAAAAAGGGTGACAGGCAAGAGGCACTGAATTACACGCCAGTTTCCCTAACTTGTATACCATGCAAGGTGCCGGAGAAGATCGTGAGGAAAAGGCTCGTAGAGCATCTGGAGGGAAATAACTTTGTAACGCACCACCAACATGGGTTCAGAGATGGTAAATCGTGCCTCACAGGTTTAATAGAATTTTATGACCAGGCAACGAAAATTAGGCAGGAAAGAGAAGGGTGGGCCGACTGCATTTTCCTGGATTGCCAAAAAGCCTTTGACACAGTACTCCATAAAAGGCTGTTAAAAAAGTTGGAGCAACAGGCAGGAGTAAAAGGGAAGGTGCTCCAGTGGATAAGGGAGTACTTAAGCAACAGGAAACAGCGAGTAACGGTGAGGGGGAAGACATCAGAGTGGCGAGATGTCACCAGCGGAGTCCCACAGGGCTCAGTACTTGGACCCATCCTGTTTCTAATATATGTGAACGATCTTCCAGAGGGTATAGACTCATTCCTCTCGATGTTTGCTGATGATGCAAAAATTATGAGAAGAATCAAGACGGATGAAGATAGACAGAGACTACAGGATGACCTGGATAAACTGGAGGAATGGTCTAGAAAATGGCTGCTGAAGTTCAACTCTGGAAAGTGTAAGGTGATGAAATTAGGCGAAGGGAGCAGGAGGCTGAACACAAGGTATCATCTGGGAGGGGAAATCCTGCAAGAATCAAATAGAGAGAAGGATCTGGGGGTTGATATCACACCGAACCTGTCCCCAGAGGCCCACATCAAAAGAATATCATCAGCGGCATATGCTAGACTGGCCAACATAAGAACTGCCTTCAGAAACTTGTGTAAGGAATCTTTCAGAACCCTGTATACCACTTATGTAAGACCAATCCTGGAGTATGCAGCTCCAGCCTG